AGCTGTGCTTGGGTTTCTGAACGTTTTGGAAGTCGAACAGACTTCTGGAACGGATTCCGTTCGACTTCCAAGGCATGACTGTACAGGCAACTCCTCACTTGAGTGCAATTGGCATGTGTGCAACCGCTGACATGTGTGCCATTTTCAGTGTCAAAAGGAGACGGGGAAGACCTGGAAAGGAGCAGAACTGGGCAGAACATTATGAAATGTTGCCTTACATGTGTCCCACTGACTTTCATGGCTGCTGGGGATTCCCCTGTATTGAAATGTGTTTTTTCCACCAAATATATTTTATTAAGTTTCAACATTTTTAACATATACAATCAAAACACACTTGAGACTCTTCTTGCCTAGCATTTGGTGGCAGAAATGTCTAGCGCAGACCCTTACCAGAGTGTAGGGAAAGATCATTGGGAACTAAAATCCCCATATTGCAGCACTTTTGTTCTACTGAAGCAGAAGAGTGGAATTGTTCATTTTAAATAAATACTGTTTAGACGCCATTTAGATGGCCTGGTTAGACGACCACTGATCAAGAACATTAGAATGAGAGGGATGGAGATGTTTTGCATAGAAGAAGAAGAAGAAGAAGAAGAAGAAGCACCCTATATTTAGAAAGCACGTTCAAAGACGGAAGCGTGATTTGTCCTAGTAGCAGACATCTGAAGAACAAGTGACATTCGTACACAAAATCCATATTGGTGATGTATTTAATTACAGAGTTGATTGAAATTGACAGCTTTAGTGACCTGTGTGTGCACTTGCTGTGATTGATGGATGCTTCAAATCTGGTTACTCTTAAACCAAATCGCATATTGCTCAATAATATCGCCCTGTCAAATTGCAAACTAAATTTTCGCATGCAGAGGGAGAGGCAGCAGAATTAAAATCAGGTGGAGATGAGTGGTGTTTAAATATTTATGCAATAGTTTAAAATGTCATATCTGTAATATAATCTGAACGCAGGACAAAGAATATCCGATACAGCTCAGGCCAGTGATGTTCCTTAGGCAGCTTATATTGTACTTCCAAAAGAGATAAGAGCCAGAACACATGCAAGATGTGCTCTAAGTCAGTAATATATGCTCTAGTCACCTCTGAGTGTACATGACCAACTCATGTTCATATTAGGACTATGTCAAATATTTTGATTTTTTGATCCAACCCACAGAATTCAGGGTGGACATAGAAACATTTCCCCCATCAAAACCCCCACATTTTAATTATTGGAATTTCCTTCCCCCCCATCCTCCTTGATGCTGTTTCCCCACAGCTCTAGCTTCTTACCCCTTTCTGGATTCATTGGTCCCAAGTGCAATCCTAAGAAAATAAGAAGCGCCTGTTGGATCAGGCCGATGTCCCATCTAGTTTTAAAAAAATATTTATTTCTTAAACCATTTTAACAAAACAAATTATCAATCAATATAACCGATTACATCTCCCCCCTTTTTCTGTTCCCTCCCATCCCTCCCTCTCCTACCCACCAAGGACTTCCCTCAGCTCACCTCTCTGGTTTGTTTACACATTTTAATCTCTGCATATTATAAACTTGTACATATCATTGCCTTATCTATCATATACAGTGGTACCTCTGGATGTGAATGGGATCTGTTCCGGAGCCCCGTTTGCATCCTGAAGCGAACGCAACCCGCGTCTGCACGTGCGTGGGTCGCGATTCACTGCTTCTGCGCATGCCCGTGACGTCATTTTGAGTGTCTGCGCATGCGCGAGTGGTGAAACCCAGAAGTAACGGGCTCCGTTACTTCCGGGTCACTGGGAGCACAACCCAAAAATGCTTAACCCAAAGCTACTTCAACCTGAGGTATGACTGTATTCTACTAATAAATTTGCGGATGTTTATTCAAAACCTGTCAAGGAGCCCAGATCATTTTGTTATCTTTTTAAATAGTTTGTAAAAGTTCCCATTCTTCCTTGAAGTCACGATTGTCCTTCTCGTGTAATTTATATGTCAACTTGGCCATCCCCGCCTAACTCATCAATTTTTCTTGCCATTGTTCTTTCGTTGGGATTTCCTCATTCTTCCATCCTTGTGCTAGCAAGACTCTTGCCGCTGTTGTAGCATAGATAAATAAATTCTTTATTTTTCTTGGCAGATCTCGTCCTAAGATCCCTAGGCCTATGTCCCATCTAGTCCAGCATCCTCTTCCCAGAGAGGCCAAACTACATGTAGGCAGGACCTGAGTTCTCCTCTCTTGTGGTTTCCAGCAACAGCTATTCAGAAGCACGGCTTCCATGGACCATCGTAGTCAGAAAGCCTTCTCCATGAATTTGTCCTCTCCTCTTTTAGAGCCATCCAAGTTTGTGGCCACCACTGTCTCCTCTGGGAGTAAATGGCATAGCTTAACTACGTTCTGCATGAATAAATACTTTCTTTTATTGGTCCTCAACGTCAGAGTGTTTTTCTTCTTTGGCGATCACTCGTAGCCGAGTAAGATGACAATGAACACAGTCTTAATGCTAGTCCGTAAGTGATTGTGGAGGCCAGTTCTGGATCCACACATCCTTCCACAGTGGGGAAAAAGGATTCCGAGTGGGACTTCATCATGGTGAGGGTCTGCCAAATGTGCCTTCTTCTTAGCACGTTTCTCCATTTTGTCCTGAGTTTGAGTGTCTTCAAATCCCATGACACCTTTGGTAAAGGCTGTTCTCCAATTGGAGCACTTGCAGACCAGTGTTTCCCAGTTGTTGGCGTATATACTACATTTTTAAAAAAGATTTACTTTGAGAGAGTCTTTGAACCTCTTTTGTTGACTACCCATTATGCTTTCCATTTTAAAGTTCGGAATAGAGTAGTTGTTAGCTGGTGCCCAGGGCAGTTGCACACATGTGCCAGGGGGCCAGGATGTGGATGGGGAATGCAGCCCCCCATGCCAGCCCAGCCCTCACCATCACTGCCCGAGTGATCCCCCCCCCCCACTGGAGCCAAGCTGGGCTGCGCTATGCCACCTGCCCATCCTTGCAGGGAAGAGCCTGGCCGGCTGATGTGGCTCTTGGATCATCCCAGCCTCTCAAAGGGCTGGCAGGGTGGCATGAGAAGGTTGTGACAGCCATGTGTCCTTCAATCCGAGCCTTGCAGAGCAAGGGCGAGGCTGGGATCAAAGGGCACATGGGCTGTTGCACCCTTCTCCTCCCGCGCTGCCAGCCCCGTGCTGCTTTGCAAGGCTGGAATCTAATCTGAATGATTCGCCGGGCAATATTATTATCTCCACCTCCCGAAAACAACAACCCAGTCCAAGAGTCTGGTCACCAGCCTCTTCTTTTTTGTAGCCGGAGTCAGTCAATGCCTGCCCTCCCAGGCCAGGTGGGAAAAGTCCTGCAAGAGCAGGTCTTCCAGGACTCTCAGCCAAAATTGCTACACAATGAAATGTACACCTCAGTAATGTGGGACGTGAAACACATAGCAGTCAAGTACAACAGTCCTAGAATGGACATGCTGGGGTATGCATTGTACAACCCAGGAGGAAACTTCCTGTTTCCTCCTGAGCTGGGACAGACTTCCTCTGCATGTGACTAGGGGTGGGTGTGGCTGAACCTGGGCAAGGGAGCACACCTCCTTCTTCTGCTCTCTCCTCCATTTTTGTCTCTTTTTCCACGTGTGAGCAGAAGTGACTGCCTGTCTGCAGTCACTTGGGACTAACTCCTTTATGGGACAGTTCCACATGTATATATACTTTTGTAACCTAAGTCTGCCTTCAGGGATCCAGCTGTGAACTGAATGGTTGTGAGTAAACTACTTTTATATTGACTTTAATGAGACTGTCATGTCTATTCTTTTTAAGAGGGACAAGAAGGGATCTTACCAGGAATCTTGTAAAGAGAGGCTCAGACGAGCCTGCAACAAGCAAAGCACTGTGCGTTCAAAGGGGAATGTTTAAACTCTGCTAAGATATAGAACTTGCTAACGCAAGTTAGAAAGGATATCATTAAACAACATATCCTCTCCTGCCTCCCTGAACATTCCCACAAGTAAGTTATCCAGAAGAGAATGCAACCCTCAGGCTAGAAAAAGTGCTCTCTACCTGCTCTAAGGGATTAGATCCTTTAACACTGTCCATTCAGTACCAAACCAGTTAACAGCAGGATAGTTTGCCAGGCAACAGATCAGGGTACAGTTATGGTACTACTAACGTTCTCCCTCAGCGATGTAGTGGCCAGGGGAAAGCCAGCTCCTCATTCACAGTCCTAGGAAGTTGTCCTCTAAAGGGGTTGATGACATGACATGACATGCTTCTTTATTCTATATGACAAGTGAAAAGAGGTTATAGGCCTGTATTTTGGGGGCAACATCTAAATATGCCCAGTGTGTAACAGCAAAAACCAATGCTAAGTAGAATCAGCCGTAAAAACTCCTAAGGAACAGTTGAAAAGAAAAGAAACACAAAAAAATTCAGTTTCTAACCCATAATTAAGATGGCTAGATCCCTGGAATGTCACCTTCCGAGGCCTTAATATTCAGAAATGTCTGAGTTTATTTTCCCCTCCTGTTATTAAAAACAACAACATAAGAATAATCTATGCATAATCAAGCAGAGGAGTACCTTGATGTGAGTATTATGCATAATTTAAAATTATCTTGATAGCTATTGTTAGATTTCTTTCTCAACCTTTTCTATTTTTGTTTTCACCGGCACATCTCAAGCAGACACAAAGAAGTCTATTGATGTGGATGGGATGTAACGAAAGCGATTTGCAGGTCAATTAAACCCATTCATCAGGATATCAGCATGGACTTAAAATATTTGCAGAAGTCTTTTTCATGAGAGTAAGAAATCATTAATTGGCAATTAACAAAAGAATGTAATAAGGAACTCAGATACCTGACATTGGGTCTTTAATTTTTATTATTATCACTGCACATTTTGAAACAGGAAAATTACAAAACAAAGCGGGGGGGGAAATCTGTTTTCATTAAGCTGAAAAAGCTGTTTTATGTCTACATGGAGTTGGATCTAAAGGCAGATGAACCAGATGGCCAACAGTGGGAAGGACTGTAGCTCAGTGTTAAAGCATCTGCCTTGCAGAAGGTCACAGGTTCGATCCCTGGTTGCTCAAGGCAGAGCTAGCAATGTCTCATTTCTGAAAGCTAGAGAGCTGTGGCCAGTCAGTCTGGGCATTAGTGAGTTAGATGGATCCAGTGAATTGACTTTGTGTAAATCAACTTCCTGTGAAGTATTGTGAGGCTTCGGAGGCACCTCTCACAAGCTATCTACTCAACCAGTGGTGGTTTCTCTGCCTCCTTACCTAGCCTGGGTGTCTCAACTGGGAAGCTAAGTAGGGCACAGGGTAAACCAGACATAGGCAAACTTAGCCCTCCAGATGTTTTGGGACTACAACTCCCATCATCCCTAGCTAACAGGACCAGTGGTCAGGGATGATGGGGGTTGTAGTCCCATGGTGCATATGGACTTCTCTGACATCTGTGGGTTCAGGTTGATTTCACTGAAGGAAGTCAATTTTTGCAAGCAAAATAACCTGCACATAGATCACATTCCTTTCTAAAGGAGCTATTTCAATTGATAAGCACTGCGTGTCCATTGGAGTTATTGTACCAGAATACAATTGGGTCACATGATTATTGGAAGAAATTTTAGAAGCTCATTGTACCTGGACAAATTCAAATGCAAAGAATTGACCTAAATATATGATGAAGGTTAATTTTTCTTACAAAGTCTAAAATATCTATCTCCTATTATGGATTCAGAGGTTCATAGCACAGACATTTAATGATGACGTTTAAGAGTAATTTCTGACAGGAAACAGATTCCTGCTAAAATTACACACACACACTTTTTCAAATTCAAAGTGTTCAGCTTGTCTGAAAAGTTCAAATAACTTTAATGGATTTGAAGTCATTGGGGAGACATCTTTATAGTCAGCAATTACTGAGTTTAAAAATATGAAAACAAGTTCAGTTTGTGTGAAATGCTAGACAGGCTTCCTTTGAATTGGGGCAAATGTTTCTTTAAGTAGCCGTCTTTACCAAGAAAAGAAAATTAAAGACAGTCATAGAAAGCGTCTCAAAATTACACCCGGTCTTCTCCACACAGGTATTTTCATTTTCCTTCCACATCAATAAACAACCCTTTACTTTTAACAATGCCAAAAAAGACCATCCTTGCTTATTTTGTATGATTAAAAGCGCATTAACCATAGAGATGTATTAATTTGCAGACACAGATACTAATTGCTTAAATATTGAGCTCAAAACTACACACCAGCACTGCGGAAGGATAATTGGTTCTTGCCATCAGAGGGGAAAAAATACTATAATAAAGAACTTGAAAGGCCTGTCACATTTCACATAACAAGCAAAATCTCAGAATATTTGAAAAAGATTCTGAAAGCAAGTGTCTTGGGGCTTTCTTAATGAGAATGAATGTGGTTTGAAAAGATCAAATAATATCCACATATGTCAAATACAGGTTCTAATAACAGTTAGAGATAATGAATAAAATTAAAGTAGGTCATTTGAAGTCATTTTGGATCCAATAGGAGGCAGACTGCTTAATATCAGCTTGTTAAAGTATAATTAGAAGCATTCTGTATTTACCAAAAAAAAAAAAAAAGCGAGAAAGGAATCAGTAAGAGAGATAATAAAAGCATTAAGATGAGATATTTGCCCTTCTTTTAATTTTAACTGGCATTTTGTTTTATTTGCATTTCAGCATTAAGTGGGCATGTAAATATGTTAATATTGTAATAAGTAGGATAATGATGAATATAAGTAAAACACAGAATAGTGGTGTGTTGTTATTTCTTAATTTCCTGAGGGTGATAGTTTTTAGTAGATGTCATTAAAAAAAGAAGTTGTGAAAGCAGACGTCCCTGTTTAGAAAAGAAAAACGGCAGCATTGCTTGAACCCAGAAATAAAATGACAGCATAGGATTAAACTTCCAGAAAATGTACAGGCGTATATGTAAATCTACATAACATAAAAATGATTCAGACACATTTTGCTTCCATGGGATGTGATAATAGCTGTTAACCTAGATGGCTTTCAAAGGAATGAGACAAGTCCATGGAGGATGGATCTATCATTGGCTATTAGTCATGATGGATATATGAAACCTCCTACAAGTTCAGAGTCAGTACGCTATTGAGTAGCAGTTTTCAGGAAGGTTGTGGCTAGTCCATGGCATTTTTCTGCCTCATATGAAGGATGTTGCCTCTTCTCCACTCCATGTACAGAAACCAAGGGGACTGGCTGTTGCTTCCTGCTTCAAACACTAGTTTTGGGATAATTTCATGTTCTGCACCTTTTCTATGCATGTTATCATTGCTTCTCCATCCTCTCCTCTCCTGTAGACATGTAGACTGTAGGCTCTTCAGGGCAAAGAATTATCTCATTTGCTTTAAAGGTAAAGGGACCCCTGACCGTTAGGTCCAGTCGCAGATGACTCTGGGGTTGCGGCGCTCATCTCGCTTTATTGGCCGAGGGAGCCGGCGTACAGCTTCTGGGTCATGTGGCCAGCATGACTAAGCCACTTCTGGCGAACCAGAGCTGCGCACGGAAACGCCGTTTACCTTCCCGCCAGAGCAGTACCTATTTATCTACTTGCACTTTGATGTGCTTCGAACTGCTAGGTTGGCAGGAGCAGGGACCGAGCAATGGGAGGTCACCCTGTTGCAGGGATTCAAACTGCCAACCTTCTGATCGACAAGCCCTAGGCTCTGTGGTTTAGACCACAGTGCCACCCACATCCCTCCTCTCATTTGATTTAGATGCTGTTAAAGCACCATGTACAGTGACCATTTTATATTAATCTCTGTGATCTCTGACATGGTCTGTGCATTTTTCTTTGTTTGAAAAATGAAAGACTAGTGCATAAAATGTAAGTTCATGGGAATGACATCCTCTCTGTCAAATTGGTGTGGCTTTTTTTAAAAAAAAAAAATTAAACAAGGACTATTTATGATCTACAGCTGAGTGTATAATGACAGTCAAGGGTGCCAACACAATCGGTGCACTCCATTATTGAACTCAATGCTTTGTAAAGTGCTTTAGGATACCTAGCGTATGAAAAGTCATACATCAAAACAAATATCGTTCAATTCTATACAGTACGTGAGTTGTGTGAATGCATATTCAACAACTGTGTGCATGTGTGAAGTATCTATGACATTAGAGCATCAGTATTTTGTGTTCAGCAATTCTTGACACACCTTTATCCCATCACCTGGGAAGACATAACTTTGTGATGAAAAGTGGCAAATAACCATTTTGGAGCAACAATATTTAGAAGGACAACCATTCATTTCACTGCTGCACATTGATGGAGAAAACAGCATAAATAATGTTCGGCTTAATCCACATTTTATATTTATAGTACAAGCCAAAGTAGCCTCTCAAAGCAAAATTGGAAGCACATTTTTGAATCTGAAACTGGTGTGATGAAGTGGCTAGAGTTCTGGACTAGGACCTGGGAGACCAGGGTTCAAATCCCTGCTGAGCTCACTGGGTGACCTTGGGCCAGTCACTATCTCTCAGCCTAACCTACCTTGTATGGTTATGAGGATAAAATGGAGAATGGGAAAAGTGTGAATGCCATCTTGAGCTCCTTGGATAAAAGGAATTGCAGCTGAATTACATCTAAGGATGGGTGCATCTATCAATTTTGGTTTCTCTCAGCTCCTCATTTTCCCAATCTTAAATTCAACTCTTCATCTTTCCACATAAGTTTGCCATCAAAAATAGCCCTCATATATTCATTAGCATTTTTGTCTGAATTTTTCCTAATACATGCATTTTTGCTAAGTAATTTCCCGTAGTATAATGTGTTTTTGAATGTTGTTTTCACCAATATATGCATGTTCATGTGGGTATAGGGCGGTATATGAATTTGATAAATAATGATAATAATAAAACCTCATGTGTGACATTTTCTTTAAATGGTTATTACTTTGGAGATGGCGTGTTGGATTCTATATCCACCCGCCCACACACAAAAGACAGGCATCTATTCTGGGGTGTTTAACGGCATACTGAATGGATGGCTGATCATCGCCAATGTCTTTGTTTTGAAGTTGCAAGAGGTTGCCATCTCTCTTTTGGTTTTTATTGAACTCTTTACTGTTTGCCATTTTCTCAACAGGAGGAAATAGATTGCCCTCTTTTGAGAAATGTAGCAAGCAAGCCATAGCTCACCCACTGGTTTGTTCAAAGAGTGACCCCTTGGTTTGAAAAATGTGATTCTAAAAGCAGCACAGATGACAGATCCATTTGTGAATGTCTAATGATCCATTCTCCATTATTTGTGTCTGCTTTCCCTGTTCTTCTATAACATCCCAACCCCTGCAAATTTATGTGGATTATTGAGATCAGGTATGGGGAACCTTTTCAGGCCAGCAGGCCATATCTCCACCTCCCTCACCCCGGGAGCCAATTTGACAGATGGGAGGGGCTGCTCCCCTGCAAATCACTTGATGTCATTATGATGACGGAGGCACCTTCAAAAGGACTTGCTATCAGCACTGATGAGCTATCTCAGTGTTGGTTACACTGACTCAGAGCAACGCTCCAAGGTTTAAGACAGGGGCCTCTCCCAATCCTGCCAGGGAGTGAACCTGGGACCTTCTGCATGCAAAGCAGATGTGCTTCAATTGAGCTACTATCCTTCCCTGCTGTTTCCAAAGTAGCACTGCATACATTAGCACATGGGATGGACCAGGTGGCAGGTTCAGTCCCTACCACCTGAGTCTCAAGCAACAATATGGATCCAGAAGCTTCGTACTCATTCCTTATGAGGGAGTGTAACTTCATCAAGAGCAGGTTATTCCCATTCTTCTGGTTTAGGAAGCCACCAGCAAACAGCGCCTCAGCCTTATCTGGTTTGTTCAGTTCAGTTCAGTTCAGTTTCATGACTCTCATTCGGTCCATTACTAAGACAAGACAATGGTCCAGCACATCCGCTACCAAATTTGCAGATGTAAAGGAGAAATGGAATCTTTCCCAAGAAGGGGAGATTGGCAGCTGGCAGGTAACTTAGATTTTCCAAATCCAGGGAGGGTTCCATGAGGATTGGTTTTACCACTTTCTCCTTTAAGCAGGCAGGAACCACCGTCTCTCACAGAGGCATTAATAATAGTAATAATAATTTATTATTTGTACCCTGCCCATCTGACTGCACACCTCTCAAGCATCATCTGCTGTAACAGTGGAGTCAATATCCTGGTGGATGCAAACAATTTTATCCTTCAAATGCTTTCCAAACCAGTAGCTGTGAGATGCTGTTGGTTCTGCCACCTCCTTCAGGCCAGAAGGAGGCCCCACACTACCTGGAAAACCTCTGCCGGACAGCACAATGAGGATGCAATGGAGGCAGCAAAGTATACCTAATTTGCTGCCTTTGCTGCCTCTAGGTAGGCTCAGTGATAAGCCCTCACCAGGGTTTGATTGCATTCAACTGGAGCTTTCCTCCACTTGTGTTCCTTGTGAGTTATATTCTGATACTGTGAAAGAAAGTATTTTATTTCAGGGAAACAACCCACCCTTGTCTGTCTCACATTGCCTTTGCTGTTCTCGATAATATGAAGAAGGGGAGAGTCCATTGGTTATTCAGTGCATGACAAGTCTGGATTTGAAACAAGACAGGTTGGTAAAGAGCCAGGGCATCTCTCTGTTAGTTGAGGAGAAAGGGAACAGGTAAGCACAGATGGTTGAACAGCTGCCTTCAAATTTAGAAAAATATCTTCTTTAATCCCCCCAGCTTCCTGGCTTTCTTTCCTCTTTTTTGAGGGGGTGCCTAATTCTCTTTCTTAGCATAAAGCACTATGGTAAAACCCATTCTTTAATTCTCATTTCTCCCACATATCAATTCACCTCAGGTTTCACTGTATCATTTCATTTGGACTTCTGCTGAAAATCCCTCAATATGGAGGCAAATAAACCTAGAGGAGTTAAACACAATTTGAAGGCATAATGATTTTTTTAAAAAAAGTCCTCTTCCCTTAGTTTAGGTAGAGCAAAGATACACAATTCAGATCACTCTGAAGTCCCTTCTCAAGAGGGGCCAGATTGCTTTGTCAGTCATGAAAGAAGGCAACTTGCTGTTTTCAGTTTTCTTTTAAACCCAATAGCTTTTGTTCCCCACTTTACTCTCTGTAGCCTACAGCATAATCTCTCTTTCTGGAAGATTCTGGACAGACAAAAAGAAGCAGTTCTTCACATTGCACAAAGTTCACCTGTGGAAGGTGTAGCAAAGGCCAAGTATATTGATGGCTTTAAACGAGGATTGGACAAATTTATGGAGGACAAGGCTATAGATGACTGGTAGCAACAATGGCTGTGTTCTACGTACCTCCGTTGTTGAAAGCAGTATGCTTCCGAATTCCAATTGTTGGGGCAAGTGCTATCGTGCTCATGTTCTGTGGCCTTCTCAAAGGTGTTTGCCACTGTGGAAGCAAAGTTCTGCAACCGATAAGGTTTTGGTCCGATCTAGCAGAACACTCCTTATTATTTCATTCTGCACATTGACAACTCTCTGTGCCCACCTCTCTGTTTATTCAAGGGGTGGTATCATGTGACTCCTGGCTCTGCTGCCCAGAGGTGATTGTGGTAAAGGGAAGTACTGAGAATCAGAACTTCTTCAGAGTCATCTCCTCAGTCCACTGGGTCTTCCTGCTGCCACTGTTGTCACTGCTGATATGGGCAGGGGGCTTCAATGACACCTGGCTCTTAGAACCTTCCAGATCAAGGAGGGCACTGAGGTAATGCAAGTGGACAATAATTGTTGCAAAATAAAAGAAAAGAATGTGAGGAGCACATCACTAAAAATGTAAAGACTAATAACAACAAAAAAGTTCTAAATACATTTCTGGTTTCCTACAGGCCACTGGTTGACCGCTATGAGAACGGGATGCTGGACTAGATGGGCCATTGGCTTCATCCAGAAGGCTCTTCTCAGGAAAAACTGAGCTTGCTTTGACAATGGAAAAGAAATATGTGGAATGGGGGAAATCTTCTCAAGTTACATTTGTATTTCTCAACCGCTCAGACTCTTCTATCTTCCGTTCCCCATCCTTTCCCAATGGAGCTTAATGGCTTACTGTACACGATGGGAAGTTTGGGCCAGGACTCAGGAGACCCATGCCCTCTTCTGAAGAAGACCTCTGGCGTTGGTGCCAGCGCTGCTAACACTGCTGAGTGCATTGTCAAGAGTCCTCCAGGTAATACTCTTATTACATGTGTCATTAGAGGATTTTTGCCATTGCTGCTGCAGCGCCGCAGACATTTTAAGTAGGTTATTCCATCACTTTGCCATTTTGATTATGACAACACCCTGACACCATCTTGAAATGGATTTTTGGAAAGAAAGGCTAACTGTCCAAAGAGGTCCATGCTCGCACTAATTAAAATTGGCTTAGGTGGTACAACCTTCATAATTCCGGCGATGACTATGAAGGATGTGTATGTTGAAAGCCCTCTTTGCTCATTAGTGCTGTTCCTGTCAGACGCTGCTACCTGCTCTTTCCTTAATGAATGCTAAGCCATCTCTTTAGAAGATCGTGACGCTTCCTTGAACTGAGGGAACTGTCTTATTTCCTCCCAAGTTGGTTGAGAGTGAAATCAGGGAGTCACCTCTTTGACATTTCCCAACCTCTGTACTTATTTATCTCTTTGAGACCCTGTGCTCCAGAGATATCACTGTCTTAATTAAGAAGAAGGATGTGACCCTGGTAAATTGACTGATTTCATTGATTAAGGACTAGCTGTACAAGTAACATTGATTTTAACAGTGGGTCTACATAAATGTAATTGTTCGAACATGGGGCTGCATAATTATGGTGATGTACGAGAATAGTTGATTTGTCCTTTTCAACCTTCACTAACATTCTTGTGCATGGTAATGTACTCGTTCAATTAGCAAAAAATCTTAAATGTTACAAAATGCCTTTTGTGAAGGCACATGGTAATCATTATGGTCTAATTTAATCCAACAGCATCAGACAGCTTGTGCCTCTTTATTTTCCTCTTTTTCCTAGAATTGTCTGTTCTCACCTTTCTGGTGCATGCTGTTTGTGGCGCATGGGTGCAAAGCCACAGATCTGCTACCTCCGGCAAGAGGCAATGGTTGAAGACGGTTTCCTTTGGGGCTGCTCTGCAACAGTTACAGGTTCGTTTGTTTTTAAAGCTCAAGAACAGTGCCTGGATGGAGTGCTGGACTAGATGAAGTTCAGTAAACTGGCACTGGATCCTGAAAAAGACAGAGGTCTGGTGGGATGGCGCTTCCTGTGTATCTGGGAAATAAGTCAATTGCTTGTTCTGGGTGGGATTGCACTCTCTCTGAAGGAGCAGGCTTGCAGCTTGGGGATGCTCCTAGATCCATCATTGTTATTAAAGGCCCAAGTTTCTAGGAGTTTAACCAGCTTCACCTGATAGACCAACTGCAACCATTCCCAGACCTGGATGGCCTGACCACAGTGGTCCATGCACTGGTAACCTTGATTACTGTAATATGCTTTATGTGGGGCTGCCCAAGTAGACCCAATGGCTGGTTTTTCCTTTGAGGCTCGGGGTTCTAGGGTGGTCCTGGGAATAATGATAATAATAAGCCACCCATCTGGCTGGGTTGCCCCAGCTACTCTGGGTGGCTTCCAACAATTTAAGCATCAAACACAGCAGAACATCAAACATTTAAAAACTTCCCTTTACAGGTTTGCCTTCAGAAGTATTCTAAAAGTCAGATAGTTGTTTATTTCTCTGACATCTGACGGGATGTTTATTTCCTTGACATCTGACAAGAGGGTGTTCCATAGAGCAGGCATGACTACCCAAAAGGTGCTCTGCCTGGTTCCCTGTAACCTCACTTCTCATAGTGACAGAACTTCCAGAAGGCCCTCGGAGCTGGACCTCAGTGTCCAGGCTGGATGATGGAGGTTTACTTTGCAAATACCAGTTTGACGGCATCCTCCGTTTGAAAGCGTCTCCACCCCCATTGCTCAGCCAGACACTGAGGTCCTCCTCCTCCGATAGTCTTCTGTTGGTTCCCTCACTGCAAGAAGTGAAGTTACAAGGAACCAGGCAGAGGGCCTTCTTGGTAGTGGCACCCTCCCTGTGGAATGCCCTTCCAAGAAAATAATCAACTCTCTGACTTTTAGAAGACATCCAAAGGCAGCCTTGTTTAGGGAAGTTTTTAATGTTTGCTGTTTTATCGTGCTTTTACTATTCTGCTGGGCCCTGCCCCGAGTGGCTGGGAAAACTATTCATATAATTTAGCATTTGAATATTTTATGCAAATCGAAGCCTTTTTTGTCTTTTTTTTTTTTTGCAATGAGTAAGTCACTGCCTGCAATGTTGAAACTCAAAGGAAGAGCCAGAATCTACATTTCATCTATGTGTCCTCTTAAAATATAAAGAAGCTCCTCATTCAAGAGGGAAGAAGTGAATGCTGCATCTGACTGTGTTATATTCTAGGCAAGAAATTGACAAACATTTGCAAGTAAATGAAACAGGTTTATTTAGCACCTTTCATGAGTTGCCTCTTTGGTTTTTTGGAGGGAGAGCAGTACCTTTCAAAACTGTCGTGAGCACATGCAATATGGTCAACTATTGTTATCTAACAGAACAAATAGAAGAAGAAGAAGAAGAAGAAGAAGAAGAAGAAGAAGAAGAAG